TTTTGCTAAGATTCGGCACATATAACACTTCATTGAGAACACAATTCTCAAACCCCACTCTTCCACGTTTAGTAGCCTTGATCGTTGCCCCTGCTTTAGCCACTGAAATTTCCGTGTTGTCTTCGGTCCAATCTTGCAGAATATTCTCGTTGTTCGTTAGGTGATTCGTCGTACCTGAATCAAGAATCCAGACATCGTCCTCCATCAATTCAGCACTCAAAGCAAAGAAGCTTACTTTTGGTTTAGCTGAAGTCTTCTTTTCTTCATCTCTTTTGGACTTTTGCTTATAACACATGGCATCCGTATGATCTGACATCCTGCAATGAGAACACCACATTTTCTTTCCCTTAACAGTTCCTTCTCTTTTCGGCTCAGGACAATTAGCGGCGATATGATTTCCTTCTTTATTGCAATTATAACAAAGCGTTACACCATTTTTATTGCAATTAGGATGAAATTTTTTATTTCCTGTTGCCGCAAACGATACTGCTGTTTCTTTTTCAGGTGTATCATATCGATCTTCTTCTGCTAATAGTCTCGTTTTCAGATTAGTTAAGGTTTGTTCAGCAATCGGAGTCATGTCCCACGCAGTTCTGAAGAATTTGCTTTTCTCTGGCAAAGAGGCCAAAATCTTCGCCATTAGCATGTTATCTGTTACGGTTTGATCCACCGTTTTTAAGCGCACATAAATGTTTTCTAGTTTACTCACGTGAGCTGAAATCGTAGATCCTTTTTCGAAAGTTGCTCCAAAAAGTTCCTCGTACAGCTCGTTTTTGCTTTCGGCAGTTGTTTTTTCAAACAGGTCATTCAATTGTTTCCACATCTGTGCTGCAGAAGTGCACGTCATGATATGTACTATTAGCTTTGATTCAATCGTTGTGGAAATAACTCTCTGCGCCATTTCGTTCTTTTTCTTCCAGTCAGCGACTAATTTCGATAGTTCCGACGAATTTCCCGCCCCGACACTTTCGGATGTGGGTAGCCTTTTCGCACCGGTGGCTATTTCGAACGAACCATTTGATTTCAGTTGTGCCGTAACTAAAAATTTCCACTTCAGAAAGTTTCCTTTTCCGGACAGTTTTTTTATGTGTCCAATATAATTATCTGATAAAGAATCACTCATTGTAACCGCTTTGTAAATGACGCGTTACAAAAAAAATTAGATTATTTTGAGCAAAAAAAAATATCAGCGAATGTCTTTTATTTTTCGTTTACCGAAAAAAATAATGCTCAAAAAAAAAATAACTTCATTCGATTTCTCGAAAAACTTTTATTCCGAAAAAGCGCACATCACACATTTGAGGACCGCCTATAACTTTCTATCTTCTTGTTTAGCTTTTTGCACTTATTTCTGATGTAGAAAAGGATTAATCCAAGAACCATTAGCCCCATCAGGGCGTACAGCGTGGCGTCATGAATATCGAAGTCATTTCTAATTTCAATAGAGTCGTCAAACCAACCCATCATCACTGCTACTAAATTTTCGACAAAGAGAGCACGTATTCGATCGATCGCACGAAAACTGCCGTGAAAAACTGAGCACTAAAAAACGTTTTCTGGGCTGCCATAACCTGTTAGGAATTGAGGTCAGAGTGATAGGTGAAGATGATTTGCGACTCATACATGTTTATTCCGATAATACAAAATATTTAGAGAGTGGACCGACTACATTCTTACGGAAAATCTCGACTGAACTGCCAGTTGCGCAATGGTCCGAATTAAACATTCTTTTACAAATCTTGACATTAAACACTTTTGCAGAATGTCAAGAAAGGCAAGGAAGAAAGCAAAGCTTTCGCAGAAAGGCAATATATACAATGAAATCAGTTCTGAAGGTATTTTACCAGTTCTGGGTTTTTCATTCTTTCTACTGGAGCTCCATAAGTAATGGATCAAATCCTGGAAGCTCTCAGTGCAGAAAGTGAGGCGAGCTCGCTGAGATTTTTTTATGTAATCAGAAAATCTAAGAAAAAAACAAGGTCATGTACTTCTTCTTTTTAATTTTTTTTTCTTATCATACGCAAATAACCCCTCCCTGCACCGAAATTCTAAAATGAATTAGGATATGCTGAAAATTGAATGATGTGTTTAATGGTATGAAGTTTTAATCGTCCTAGCCACGTTAAAAAGTGTCACTATACTAGTGTCAACCTACATTCTTGAAGTACTAAACATATTTTTGACTTAAACATTAGGTACATAAGTTGAACTTTGTAAGAGTGCGATCAGGGTATATTAGGCCTCGGTGGAGGATAGAGAGAGATCAGAAGGATAATGGACCACTAGACAAGGTACGAATTTCAGCATTCTGATACATGTTTCTCAACCAAAATTTCACGTAGAACACGATACGCACAACGAAAATTACCAAAATCAACTCCTGACGAAGATATTTAATGATTCTTGATGCGTGAATTCAAACCACCCGATTATGAAAACTCAATGCTCTACGTGATTCACATCGCACACTAAATGTTTATCATGACAGTCTCTGCGATGTAAAAATCTTCAACTTCAATCTTGACACTTTGGCTCAGCTATAGCAAATTACCAATAGTTTGAACAACACATGGTGGAAAATGAACATTGCTCGATTGAGAAGCTTGCTGAAACCGTTGTAGTGCGCGATTTGACTCACGTAGAGCTTTGAGTTTTTTGTGAGCGGGCAGTTCAAATTCCTCGTAATCAGTGCGAAATAAAAACGTTAATATCTTCGTTAGATGTTGATTTCCGTAATTTTCGTAGTGTGAATCGTGTTTTACGTGAAATTCTGGTTGAGCAACATGTATCAGATTGCTTAAATTCGTACCCTGTCTAGTGGTCCATTCAGATAGGCCTCGGAAGAGGACAGGCAGAAGTTCTTTAGTGTCCGAATTAAAGGAGGGGTGTCAAGATTTGTAAAAGAATGTTTAATTCGGACCATTGCGCAACTGAGTGTGCAACTGAGGCATCTTTGTGTGCATCAGCATATTTTTCTAGCGCTGGGGCAATCCGCTCCGCTCAGGCAGTTCAGTCGAGATTTTCCGTAAGAATGTAGTCGGTCCACTCTCTAAATATTTTGTATTATCGGAATAAACATGTATGTGTCGCAAATCATCTTCACCTATTACTCTGACCTCAATTCCTAACATTTAATGCTCGATAATAATATGCGATTTCATTTAAAAAACCACCTAGATGATATATTTCTGAAATCAACCGGTGTTATATAGTCTCAGCTATAGGAATCATCTGCACCATTAGCTGTCGCTTATAGAAATATTGGGCTCAGTCAGAAATGCGTGTTAGCTAAAATAGACCCTTGGAATTATGTATGAGTGATGGTGGTGGTAAAAAGTGCCACTATACTAGTGTTAGTGCCACACTGACCTATGCTGAGAGATCCTATTCCGACGGAGGGTGCGGATTGAGAAGCCTCCTTTCTCATACAGCATATTCCGTGCTCCATCTCAATGGGATAAAAAAGTCTCCTAAACATGACGAAACCATCGGTTTGATGCAACTCGCTAAAGCCAGTTTCGCTGCCCGAGTTTGGTCGACTTATCGGCCCAGTTTTCGCCTTCCCCCCCCCCCCCCCCCCCNCAAGATGCAGTCGCAATCATTTGCATAAAAAATTCTCCAAAACATGGCGAAAGCATCGGTTAAATGCGGCTCGCTGACTCTGAAATCGGTGGCGTAAACCCCCCCCCCCTTCCTCATAAGGCAAAATAGTTCAGTTTTTGAGTTTGAATGGTCTCTAGCCTATTCAGAGGATACAATAGAATCAAGAAACCATCAAAGAATCTTATAGGCGACCAATAAACCCGGGTGTCAAAACTACCAATTACCTATACGCCGAATTGGCAACTTTGACCCCCAAAATGGGGGGTAAAACTTCGAGATAGGAAGAAACGCCCATGGACACTTTTGATCAGTGGGTTAAGACCTACAACATATCGAAACACCAGTCGATTTAACCGGGCCCACTTTTCCCATAAGACCGGTCTGTCGTCCTTTAAAAGTTCATAGACCCCCCTGTGCCCCATCAGAAAAGTGTCTGAGGACAATTGGACCCTCAAATTTGGATTCCTTGGGGTCGATTACCCATGAATACACATTGTTTCCGAGTCTCCACGTTAATTTAACGAACTTGAATTTTTTTGAAAAGGGGCCCTGTCCCCCACCTTTAGGGGTCGGTATTTTGGACCCGGATGGGCCGATTTTGGATTTCTTGGTGTCGGTTCAAGTTAAAAATTTCCGTACATTCTAATTCTGATGAAATAATTTCAGAATTTTGACATTAACCTTGACTTTTGAAGTACGAACCCCTCTTTTACTCCCCAAGGGCCGCCAGGGGGACTCGGGGACCATGAAATTCGGATTCCTTGGGGTCGATTCCCTAGTCATCCCCGCGATCCTGGACTTCGTGCGACCCAAAATAACCGAAAAAAAGGCCTGGTACGGTAGGTCTGGGCCACTCTGTATTTCACCATTGAAGAAAAAAGACACAGGCAAGAGGATAGTCAATTTTTTTGAGTTGAGAGTAGAAATCAAAACTTGAGTTTTTGATGGAAAAATATTCTTGTATTCCAAAGAATATGCTGCAAGCAGTTTGGTTCATCTGTAATATAATTGAGCATTCTTAAGGTAGTTGCCAGTAAAGTTTCATTGAAATTCAACAATTTTGATCCCTACGCACAGCAGATTCAGACTTAAAGTTTCCTTCATAACCATTTTTTGACCTGCTGAATTGAAACCTTTACAACTACTCAAACTACCCTGTGTTGGATTTTGATGTTTTTGTGGCCGAAGTTTTCATAAAACACACATTCCAGTGGTAAAGCCAAGGGTATGAAATTGGAATTTTTAATGCCTAGGTCCTTTTCCTGTTATTAGTCTGAATTTATTTTATACATTTAAAATAACTTCAGGTTGACAAGAGGGTAGGCCTAGGATTGGTTCAAGTACACTTGTATCTACTTAAGGCACTCTACAAGAGCAAAAAATAAAGACATTCTTACTTGTTTTCAATCTCTCATTCATGGTGTCAGGAGTTTCGGTTTGCTCTATTCTTGCAACTTTATAGCCTTTTTCGACCAAAGTGGCTGCGTATCGACCATAAGCACTCTCAGGAAAACCTACATGAGCTTGCTCACCCTGCAGAGATAGAATTTATAGAGACTATTAAATAAGTAAAAAATATTGAGTAATTAAGGACAAAACTGTACAACTTGTTTACAAGGTGCAGTTTCGACCAAAACTGATTTCCATTGAAGAAGAGTAAATATTCTCTTTGCGATTACTTACAATGGGGCAGTTGCATTGCAAGATGCTGAAATTGGCTTGAATAACACATGTCTCTTGCAAGGGCCAGATTAATGCTCAGGGGTCGGAATGCTGACTGGTAAGAGGGGCTTGCACATTAGCCAGCTGCATACTCTCTAAATTGAAGGCAACTTACACTTCCCAAAAAGCAGAGGGTTCATTCACAATTTGGACCTCTCCCTCGTCCGAGACACCCCCCTCCCCACAGCCATTTTTTAAGTTAATGATAAAAAAATATTGAAATATTTATAGTTTTTGTTGACATCGTGATTTTTGACACCGCGCTCATTTTTTCCAAGGAGTTGTTTCAGTTATTTTGTGATGATGATATCATCAATGATTGGCTCACTTTTTTGTTCATTGACATTGTTATCATTGACACCAAGCTCACTGGCTATTCTGAGTTTCTAGTGGTTGATCATGGCGTCAACAGCTGTTGACCTCATGATCACTTTTTTGTTCATTAACACCACAGTTGTTTACAGTGTGCTACATTACCAAGTTGAGACTCAGCTCATTAAGCTCCTAAAAAATTAAGAAACATATTGGACACACGGTGAATTGTAGAGTAATGATTCGATTTTTTTTACCCTCATCGGTGTGAGATTCAATTCCGTCATTCCAACAATGGCATCCATGTGATAGAGCTCATAAAATTTCCCCAGTTTGAAAAAGAGGACACAATCAAACAAATTGGATTTAACCTCCCACCATTGTCTGACAGCCTAGAAAAATAAGACAGTCTAAAATTAGAGAAAAAAGTTAAAAAATGAGCATTGAATCAAAAGATGAACAAACAAACTTCTATTGTAAGGATGTAAGGTCTGTTCCTATTTCAGCTAGTTTTATTAAACAAAGCATAATAAGTATCAAGAGAGGGAATCCAATGGAAACCGGGAACTGTCAGGAATGCTGGCTACCCCGGTAAGATCAGATAAGATAAGGCGCACTGAAAAGAGATGAAGGGGGTAGCTAGCATGTTATTAATTATATGTGAACCACCTGGTATTCGCAGAATAAAAGGTTATCAAAGCTTCAACATGCCGTGTCTCCTTGAAAACTCAATATAATTTAAAACCCCGGGTACTCATAGCTGTCTGGTCTTATTCTTTACAACCATGGAAAGTTTTGCATTTATCCAATGACTAATAGAAAATCTCTGACACGGAAATGATAATGGACCAGGGAAAATCAAAAGCATGACACACTGAAACACAGGCAAGTATCCCAAACTACATTTTTTCTAGGCGCTAGCTGGTACCTGCCCCCTCGTGAAAGACCTTGTAATATGCCTGCATCCTCTTGATAGATTCAATTTCATTTTTAGTAAAAATGATCACTGTACACTTGTTTGGTCGCTGAAAAGAAAAAAATTAAACTGAGAATCCAATTTAGGATCGAAGTTAAAAATAGTTTCTACTTCTAGGGATTCCAAATTTCTTGAGGTCTAAAGACAAGACTATTTCCCAAACTTTTTCGAGGGTTTAAAGGAAACTAGAGGACACATCTCCGTTTCTAAGAGAAATTTCTTTCAAGTATATCCAGTATATCGGCTATATGTATTATGGTTCGAGGGTGAAAGACTGTGTAAGGATTCTTTTTTTTTGTTTGGAGACTTTGCTTCAAACGGGAGTGGAACTCCTAAAATATCAGAAAGTTTGTGGTCTGGGATGGATATCCTATTTCTGAAACATCCACGTTAGTTTCCGAGTTATCACTACTATACATTTTTTTCTTCTAATTATTTTCTTGGCAAGGAAGTTTAAACTCTTTTCTTTTAAGAATTTTTAGAATTCAAGTTTTACAGCTTTTTTTAAGCTGTTTAAGCTGTTAAATTTTTCAAGTTTTTCGCTGTGGTTACGGAAAAGTTTCTTGACAGATGTTCAAGGCTATTTTTTAATTAGTGAACGAGCTCTAATCATCTAAACAGTTGTTACAATTTTCCTAGGTTTTCTGTATAAAAATAGGCATCAGGAATTAAACCAGAACTGAACGACCAGCTATGCATAATGCAAAGCCTCGCTGTTCATAAAATATCACAAGACCCCAGTGAAAAATGAGTTCTCCACAGATTCTGCTAATCTTCTTCAGCTGAAGGTGCATGTTAAAGACTGATTTCAACTGTTGAAAATTCGAGCATTTGTCTTAGAAATTTTGGAACTGTTGAACTCCCAAACTTTTCAATGAACTCTTTTAATCTAGGAAGTAAAGTAGTCTATGTAATAGTATGAAACAGTGCCAAAATTCTTTCAGACAAAACTCGAATCTTCATCAGTTAAAATCAGTCTCTAGCATGCACCTTCAGCTGAAGCAGATTAGCAGGAACCAATATAGAAATCTCATTTTTAACTGGGCTACTGTCATGTTTTATGAATAGTGAGGCTTCATATTATGAATAGCTGGCCATCCAGTTCTGGTTTCCATTCCTCGAACAACCTCCAAAACCAAAAAAAGTAGAACCCTCATACAGCCTTTCACCCTCAAACCATAATACAGCCGATATACTGGATATACTTGAGAGAAAGGACCCTACAACAAAACTGCCAAATCGGCCTAAATACGGAATCCTACGATTTTCTCAGGGATGAAAGAGGGTCCTCCCAGACACTCAACACTGGTCATATTTTTTGCCTAACCCCCAGGGAAAAGGGGGGATGGGGGGTCAAAGTCAAAAAATTTAAAGTAGCATAACTTCTCAACGGTTTGTCGTAGAGCGATGATCTTGGTGTCAAAATTTCCAGAAAAATTAGAGCTTTCAGAATATATGCATGAAATTAATAAAATTTTAAATTTTGACCCACTTTTGGGGGAATTATACAAGGTCCCTCTTTCGTAAATTTTCGTTTTTCGATACTTTCGGTCGTTCGGTTCGCACGGAGCAAAAGAAAAAAACCCTAAATGAAAGTAGAGCGTTTAAGCTTTAAAACAAGCCCAAGATGATCTTGGGGAAACGATTAGAAGCGGAGTTATGAGTCTTCAAAGTTGACGCGGCGCGCGGGAACCTTGTATGTTCTGAGTCTCAAGGTCACCTGCGCCCCCCGGATTACCTGCAGGTTGCAAGTTTTTGTGTTTTTATGCTTCTGTAGGTCGTTTTTAATGTAAATCATTCAATGAAGATAGAATAATTAAAAAAATTTAAAATTAGGGGTACCCCAAAATTTGGCATCAATGGGTTATAATTTCCACATGGTTCAGTTCTGTATGGAGCATATGTATATTTGAACTGAGGGTCCATGGTTTCTTTTAAATTATAAGAGCAGAATCATCATCGTCAGCAAATGATTAATGAGGTATGATGGATATAATGGTTGATACTCTAAGCCCCCTCTCGCTCCTCCCGTAAAATTGAAAAATTCCGATTATTCTATCTTCATTGAATGATTTACATTAAAAACGACCTACAGAAGCATAAAAACACAAAAACTTGCAACCTGCAGGTAATCCGGGGGGCGCAGGTGACCTTGAGACTCAGAACATACAAGGTTCCCGTGCGCCGCGTCAACTTTGAAGACTCATAACTTCGCTTCTAATCGTTTCCCCAAGATCATCTTGGGCTTGTTTTAAAGCTTAAACGCTCTACTTTCATTTAAGGTTGTTTTTCTTTTGCTCCGTGCGAACCAAACGACCGAAAATATCGAAAAACGAAAATTTACGAAAGAGGGACCTTGTATAATTCCCTCAAAAGTGGGTCAAAATTTAAAATTTTATTAATTTCATGCATATATTCTGAAAGCTCTAATTTTTCTGGAAATTTTGACACCAAGATCATCGCTCTACGACAAACCGTTGAGAAGTTATGCTACTTTAAATTTTTTGACTTTGACCCCCCATTCCCCCTTTTCCCTGGGGGTTAGGCAAAAAATATGACCAGTTTTGAGTGTCTGGGAGGACCCTCTTTCATCCCTGAGAAAATCGTAGGATTCCGTGTTTAGGCCGATTTGGCCGTTTTGTTGTAGGGTCCTTTCTCTTAGAAAAGGAGATGCAATCTCAAGTTTCATTTAAACCCTCCAAGAAGTTGCAGAAATAGTCATGTCTTTAGACCTCAAGAGATTGGGAATCCCCGGAGGTAGAAACTATTTTTAATTCAGATCCCAAATTGGATTCAGAGTTTAATTTTTTTCTTTTCAGCAACCAACCAAGTGGAGAGTGATTATTATTACTAAGGATAAAGTTGAATGTATCAAGAAGGTACGGGCATTTACAAGCTCAGTCTGGCAGGCTCAGTCCAAGTTTTTGTTGAACAGCCCTCGTATTCAGGAAGATTCAGGATTTTGGGAATAGAGAGGTTACTTACGGGTGTTAAAGAATTCTTAAATTCGGATGGAACATACAGTGTTTTCGGATCATAGTCAGGATGATTCACAGGTCTACCTTGCGCATCTTTCAGTTTGTCTTTGTGCAACCAGGTTAACTTTAAGTGAGGCCAATCGTCCGATGCTGATCTAGTGCCATCTGATGTCTGATAAAAAGGTCAGAGAATTATTGAATTAAAAGTACATGGATAAAACAATATGTATACAGACATTTAAATATAGATACTTTACAAACATTTACAACATGGTTTTAATCAGTTATTTCTAATTCTTCCATTTTTAAGTGGTAAAGTGTGCGCTCCGTTCACAAGAATTTTCCCTGATCTTTAACTATGTCAGCGCTCGAAAAAATATGTCAAAGTTCATATTCAATTTAAACTCCCATTCAAATACTGGTTGCTTTTCACAAGCAAAGCCGGCCTACGAAGATGATTCTACTGCCGCGGCCACGCTCTTAATCACACGATGCTTCAACCACGTGATCTGTGAAGCTGTGCGTTGGTAACGAACATCGAACACAGCAGAGGGATCTCATAAGTGAGATCGTGGATATTTTCTGAAGCTATCGTGACTTTCTGCACATTTGGAGGAGAGTTTTTAGGTATTTTTTTTAAAGTTACAAAACCACAGGCAGAGGTAACTCTCATCAATGGGTATAAGTGGGTACGTAAATTGCGTTGAAATTTTGAAACTTAAAAACTTGAAACTTGCAATCGAAAGTTAATTAGCAATTCTGCATTTTTTAACACTATTCATGCCTTGTCCATGAGAAGAGAAATTTGGCAATATGGGCCAAATAGTCCAGGCATGAGGGATCAAAATCATACGAATAGCAGAAAAAATTGAAATACACGATTTTATTGTTTTAAGTTGTTCCTTCGGGTATAAAGAACGCTCACGAAAAAGTCCTCATGAATCTGAGTTGTGCTAAACCCAGAGGAGGGGAGGAAAGGGTCAAATCGGGGTATTTGCGGATTTTTCTTGAATTTAGTGGTTTAAATGTCGGCTTGAGCAAAAAAAAATATTGCATTCAATTCGAACTACCGTAAAATACCCAAAAATGAGTGTGCGTAAGACTTCGGACCCCATCGCCCCCTCCCCTCCAAATTACGTTACTTTTTACCCTAAAATCGGTATTTTCAGGTGCTCCCGCCTGCAGAGGTATTAACAATGGTTTAAATGCAGTACGGCTCATACTTACCATAAAAAATCTTAAAACTTGCAACAAAAAGAGCTCTAAAAACTCTTAGTCTTATTTGCATTACCGCACCACTACCCCCAAATACCCTTGCCACCTCCCCGACTATCCTACCCCTTTCCCTCGATTAGGTCATTTTTCGGCATTTAACGGCTTAACTGGGAGAAATGATAATGTACACTCAATATAAAATGTCCGAGTAGAATTATTCAAAATCAATGCAGCCCTGCCCCCATCCCTCCTTCCACCACTCTCACAAAAAATTATTTTCAACACGTCCGATTTTACTCCTGGCAAGATGACACTGCGCAACTAGACAAAAGGTAGGAAGTGATTCTTGCTTAGTTCGAGAGGTAAAGGGTAAAGTCAGTCGGCCCAACAGCTTTATATCAAGGTTGATTAAAAGGAGGTTGGTACAATCACCCAATTCGGCGCCATGTTGATGACGTACTAGTGGGACCTTGAGTAGCGCGAAGTTTGAATTAAGACGTCTGGTGCAAGTTGCGCGCAAGCAGACTGATGCTATTAATAACAATTTCTTATGCACACATTATTTATTGTAACAGAATATGAAAATATACATGAAATGTACACATTTGAAACATTTTTTTAGAATGTATTTTATTATTATCAAAATATTTTAAATTGCTTCTTTTCACCAAAGTCCCAAAATTTTGGGGGGTCGTGGTCCCTATGATTTTGGGTTAACAGGAGTCATGTGGCACATCAACAAAAATTTATTGATCTCTTCTCTTGGGAGACTTTTAATTTTTGAAAATCGGATAATTTTGACACCTACCGTCTCCAATTGAAATTCGCGCAAGAAAGGCCCCAAAATTCCCCGTAACTCCAAATAATAGGGACTTAGGAAGAGAGTGCATATAGAGCACAAAGTTCTTGTTTTTGGCCATAAATTTGGAATGCAACGTCAAAACATACCCTACCTATATGAAATATGCGAGAAACGGGGAGGGGGGTACCATAGTATCCGGTAACCCCCTCCCCGTTTCTCGCATATTTCAAATAGGTAGGGTATGTTTTGACGTTGCTATGGAACGCCGTTAGTGTCAAAACCCTTTTCTTGCGCGCGCGGAATTTTTTCTGGCGCGCGGAAAGAAAAAACCCGTTTTCAATGAAAATCTCTGAATTTCCGGATTCCGCGCCGGTTTTCGATATATTTGCGCCGTTTGTGTCAAAACTATTTTTGTCGGCGCGCCGCTTCAAATCTGTTCTGCGCGCGGAATTTTCGATATATC